ATCCCCAAGAAAAAAAATTCAACTATGCTGAGTTGGAAGCCATCTTCATCTTGCCCAAAATGATGTCAAGTGTCGCAAAATCCCAAGCATGGAATGTCTTTTAATGGTAAGTTGACCAATACTGGCTGGAATCTTCGGTAGATTTGTAACAAGCGAATCCAAAATTGATATTGATGCACGTTTTATTGTCCATTTGTATTCGTGTCAGGTTTTCAAAGCTGGTAAGGTAGACCTGGGTTTAAGTGAAATTGGAATTTAGAATTCTAAAAGCTTAAAATAAGCAAGTTCAGTTTCATTCAGGACTTTTCTCTACAAATTAATGATTGTATACTCTAGAAAGTATAGAGAAGAGAAAATTTTCGAGAAAACGTGGTGCCCTTTTGAACAAAAGAAATCACAAAGAAACCCGTAACCCCGGGATAGTCCTAACTGGCCTATAAATGGTCCGTTGTCAAATCCCTAATTGCCCTTTTTTATTGTATGGGGGGTCCGTAAAGGTGATCCGTGGGGGGAGTCCGTGGACTGGTCGGTTCAGTGGTCTGTGGGCCAGGTCCGTAGGGGGGTCCATGGACCGAGGGTCACCCCGTCAAAAATTCCTCGTAGGATAGGGGCAATGTATTCTCTTTAGCCAAAAGAAATGGATTTGCCTATAACGTTGGAAACACCACCAGACTCTATCGGAAAGAGTAATAAAAAGTCTTACAAGGCAAGAACACCGATGGTTGCAAGATTAAAAAAAGCAGTAGCCAGTGAGAGCCACATTAAATTAAACGATGCCAATGTAACACGCTCTTAACACTCAATAAAAGTTAAAAACTGTTTCAAAGACTGCATGGGTGTGTGACTACTTTTTTTTACTCCAAGTACAACGATATTGTTTTACCGTTACATATCAGTTTAAGGCTTCAAAATTCAACTGTTCGCCTTACGTTATGATTCAATGTGACATGCAGTTAAATAAAAACGTTTATTGCTATGTGAACCAAACAAAACGCGATGCGCAAGCGTAAACATTGTATTTAGTTGAGTGCAGAGTGAATGCTGTCGTTAGTCGAGTGTGGGTGGCTTGTGTAGACTCTAAGGTTGATGCGACAATCGCTACTCTCTCCAATGCAGTTGAAGGTTGACAATACAACGCCTTAAATTTTAAATTCTTCTTTTCACCTTCAAGGTAACAGAAGACCTATGGTGCCTGGGCTTTCGCCATCTCCACCTCTGAGCTATGGAATCAGTTACCTGATCACATTAGATTAGTGACAATCTCACAACTTCTAAGTCAAAGCGTAAGACATTTTTTTTTGTAAATATCGCTTTCAAGAATTAAATTATGTGTTTTATGATCGTATGAACTTTTATCGTAATGCGCATGCGTGCTCTCGTAAATGTTCGCATGAGGGGACAGAAATTCCACTCCCACATGTCTCCCGTTTACCGTTTGTTTACAAATATAAAGCCGTTCTTACGTTTTTGTTCTTAAATGAGTTTCTGAAGGCATACCAAGAATATTTTTCCGACCCTACTCCGACAATAACACGAACCCTAACACCAACCGTGTCCCGAACAAACTCGAACCACACGCGATTCTTGATCACGTGACACCCTTCCACGCGCGTTCTTTGGGTCCAGACTCCACGTAACGACTCCTCACTCGGACCCAGGACCGCTAGGCCAAAACCGTGGCAAGGTCTTGATACCTTGCTACCATCACAGCTACTTTCACATTCCCATAGTACACCTTGTTTATCTCCAAACGTTTTGCATAACCATTGTTTCCAGTTTCTCTTGGGATTCACTATCCTCCCAGGAGAACTTGAAAACAATGCTAACGCTAAATGTTTCGGGGCTAAACAAGGTATATTACAGTTAATGTTAAAGTGAGAGTAACTACAAGTCATTTATTTTTTTCCTGGTTGGTTGCCATTTTAAAAGACTTTTCATACCTGTTTGTCGCGAAATTCACCGGTCGAAAATTCAACCGGTGAGATCATGACAATTGCCCGACAGGACAGTGAGTGAAATTTCATCCCGCTCCCAACACACCATATGCCAATTTTTTTTTCCCGGCATGAAGTTATATAATGACTCAAATCCATTCAGGCGAAGCAAGTCGACCTCCACACTTCATCGCCCGCTCGCTCGGTCGCTGTGCGACCTCATGAATTGAAGCTCGCTTCACTTACTTTTAAAAACTTATGAGAAGTCGACTTATAGCAAGTCTATGTGAAAGTAGTGAATACGGCTAGTGTCCAGGCGTTGAGTTTTTTTCAGTCACGCAAGATTTGTAAATGATGCCGTAAATTGTTGAAAACTCAAAGGAACAAAAGAAACACAAATGAGGCTATGCTGACCTGTCTATACTGCAAGAAGTATGTCTTGATACAAGATCATCGCCTTTTTTGCAAAAAGCCAAAAGGAAGAAAAAGAAAAAAAAGAGAAAGAAAAAAGCAAACGCCCAGAAGCTAGACGACAATCCTCTGACGGGTGAATCCAGTGAAGACGTAGAAGAACAGGAAACACCTGTTTTATTGGATGCATTTCGTTTCTCGCCATGCCTTTATGCGCTTTCTCAAAAAAATAAGGAAACTCAAGAAGGGGTATTTTTGTCACAAATTTAATATACCTCAGAACCAGCTTTATGTGGGGCCATATCCAGCCAAAGATTATTATATGCCAGAAGTCATGTCCGTAAAAGGACGAAATAAGTCTGAGGAAGGGCACGTTGCTCAACAAGGAAAAATTTTGATTTTCAAGAATTTCACGCTTAGTGCGTGTCAGACGTTCAATTGCTAACAAGGATGTTTGGCTTTCAAAGAACTGTTTGAAACGTATACCAATTTCAATCCTTTTACCAAGGTTACCATCACTTCTGCCTACAATCTAGATTTACGCATGAATATAATGAAACCCAAGACCATTGCTTCAGAACCTCTACATGGATGGCGCCTGAGCCCCAATCAGAGTAAAGCAGCCTTTGGACGGTTGGAATGGGAAGAACGACAAGAAGAGCGCGACACGTATGATCTAATGCCAGGTCCTAACCACCCTCTTCATCAACCCAGAAACTAGCACGCTCAAAATAAAGGGAAATTTAAGATTCAAGGTACACGTTACTCTGGGGATGGGTTTGATGCAAGCACAATCAGGCATGAATTTCATGACTGTTATTGGCACGGATGTCTCTCTTGTTACCAGAACAGAACAGAACAGAAGAACATACCAGATTGTATGGGCGTGAAAGGGAAAGCATGTACCTTCTAACTCAACTCTTTGGAGGAGCTTAAGAAGGGATCAGGGGACATCTTTTGCTCTATAATGGAAAGCACGTGGCTGTTGTCCATGTCGCTTTACAAACCTACTTCTTTCAGGGTATTGTAGCATTGTTTCACAAGATACACAAAATCACCCCATCTTTACCATCACGAATCGGTGGGAACTTCACTATATTTAGCAATTATTGAAAGAGGCTGAGTAGGATATGAAAAATTCTGCAGATCGAGGAGGGTTTTGCAGAGGTGGATAACACCCTCCCAGTTCTGCAGAATTCCTCATATCCTACGAAAGCCGAATTCAATAATTGTTTTATTATTCCATTCAAAATAATTCCAAGTTTAAAAACAAGCTAACACATGCTTACCTCGGTAGATGTTAAGTTCATATCGATAGTGCATCTTTATCGGGAAGTTTTAGGAGATAAAGGTCTGTTCAGGTCTGCAAATATACTCCAAATAGCAGATGTCGTCCGTCGAGTTGTCTTCTTGCTGTTCTTTCCATGTTTTTAGGCAATATTTCGCCGTGAAACGAGTAAAATGTTTCGCCAACTGTTGCGCCACTTTGCTCTAACTACCAAAACAACTCAGCCTTGTCCACACGTTTTCTCGCTTAACGGTTCAATAATCTGCAACTTTGGTTGCACTTTTGACGTCATTGGTTCAATATTTCAATAACAAAAGTTTTTATTCCAAATTTGGGCAACAGTAGCTGGTTATGGTGAATTATGCGTGTGCTTTTAGCCAATCAGAAACGGAGAAATATTTTGAATGAATAAAAACTTGTGTTATTGTATCGGATACGAATCTTGGGTCTCCATAAATGGAGTCGAGGTATTTCCACGAAGCGACATAGTTTGAGCTGTTCGGGACAAATCTAATTTAAACATCGGACATGAAAATTATCCGAAAACTGTTACGTTTTTTTTATAGGGACCCGAGCGCTGGTCACGTGACCTCTTTTTCCCGGTGACTAGCGTGTTGATCTGTGAGAGTTGTTGCGTTGTTTTATGGCAGAGAGAGCACAGAACTTGTGAGTATTTGGTACGTTTTTCAGTTCTATTTGGCTCTCTACCTGCATGTTTTGTATTTTTATTTTAGTTTTCACCGTTCGAGTTGAAAAAATCTGTGCTTATCCCCAACATCAGGGAAAAGTTTTATTGGAATTGCATGTTTTCAAGTGTGATCGATGGATGCTTCGAAGAGATTGAACTTTGGCTTCGACAGTGGTCGTGGATTGCCCGATTATTCGATTCAGTTACCTGTGGTTTCAACTCCGAGCGATATTTCTTTACCTTCATTCTACGAAAGTGTTTTCACAGCCATTGAGCGCTTCGCGGGAAGGCGATGGCTATCATTTTCGTCCCAGTCCCCCGCCGACTACTCGCGTTGAATTTTTGGAATCGGATCTGAAAAGGGACTCAAGGGACCAGCGGAGTGCGGCAATGCAGTGGTCAAATATTAGCAAGGAAATAACAGTTTATTAAAGGAAATTCAGTCTGAAATTCATGTAACACTGAGTACAGAGGAAGCTAAGAAATCTGTTGACTTGCTCTTGGAAAAATGGACAGGCTTGAGGGACTTCATGGGAGGTGCCGTGCAGGAATTAACGGGAGAAAACGCTTAGAACATGTACAAGAACGTTATTCTACTCTGAAAAGTGAAGTGGACGATATTATCAATGAGTGTGAGGGTTTGTTTAGAAGACCAGACCCCCGGCATGGCGAACTTGGAATGGACCACGGACTACCAGTCTGGGATCCGAGACAAGACGACAATAAGTCCGTGCACGGCGTGGCTATTCATGTTACCAAACATTCTGAGGCATTATCAGTTTCCTCACAGAAGAAATCACTAAAGAGGGCACTGGTGTCCAAAGTGAAACTAGACTTAGCAAGAGCTAGGCCAAAGGAAGATGCAGAAGCAGCAAGAGTGGCTCATGAATATAAGCAAAGGATGGAACTTGAGCGCCTTGAAGAGGAGGCAACATTGGCTGAGCTTGAATGGAAAATTGAAATGGATAACTTGACTGAAAGTAAACTCTCCCCTGTTGTATCTAGCGCCTTGAACACTTCTACGTTTATTGTTAACAAGCAATCACACTCCACCCCAGTCACGTCTGAGTATGTTACTAGAGACGGGTTTAACAGTCAACCGAGTGCCGTGTACGTGATATCCAATGGAGCACCTCAATCAACGGAGCCAAATTATCCAGCAATTTCAAGACCGTCAGACACTGATTTGACCCAAAATGAATCGCCTGTGAAGGGATTAAGCACCACCACTCCCTCTGCGGGGATTAACTAGACCCAGTACCCTGAACGTGTTGACTTCGGGAGGTAGCACACCGTCTCCAGCATGGACCAGGCTCCTCGTGATCATGTTGCCGCAATGTGGAAAGCCCAATTGCTTAGCGGAATAAAGCCGACACAGTTCAGTGGGAATCCAGCCGAGTTCCCCTTTTTTCGTGAACAAGTTCGTACGCACCTCGAAAGCGACCTGCTTACTGATGCCCAGCAAGTGGAGTATCTGCCTAAATACGTGGCGGGAGAAGCGTTAGAGGTTGTGAAGATTAATAGAGGTTGTACGTTTAACGAGTTTATGAAAACGTTGGAGGAACGTTTTGGCCAAGCGGTGAGAGTGACGCAAGCTTGTGTGGAAGAGCTCGCATCTGGCCCCAAGTTGGCGTACGGCGCCAATATTGGTCTTCTCAATTTCTCTGAGAACTTAAATGCAGCCACAAGGATCCTCAAGGGAGGCGTTGAACGCGAGGCGAGCGTAGCGACGAACCTCAGGCGCATTGTGAACCGTTTAACTAACGACTTAATCTTGAAGTGGCAAACCGTGAACTACGAGTTCGTGAAGTCCGGAAGATCTGCTCGATTAAAGAAATGACCCGGTGCTTGGGTTGCAGACATTTAAGCGGGAAAATAAGAATACCAAACTCCCTCCAAAGTTTCCAGTAAAGAGCACCACAATCAATACTACCAGCGTTGATCATAAAACTCCTGCTTCTGAGAGCACTGAACACTGCGGAATTTGCAAAACAAGTAAGCGTCACAAACTCCAAGAATGCCCTATTATCAAACAATGCGAACACGTGGCAGTGTGAAGTCAGTATGCGGCAACCTGTGGATTTTGTTTTAATTGTGGTCTTAAAAAGCCCGGACACGGTTCTGGCTCCTGTCCTGAGCCTCCGGCATGTTCAGTATGTTCCGGTCGACACATTCCTCTTCTACACTCTGAAAGTAATTATGGTGGTCGTCGCTTCATCCCACGGAATAATAGAGTCTAATGATAAGTCTGACAAGCCACTGGCGACGCCTAAATCCCCAAAGAGCGAAAGGGGAAATGCCACTGACTCCAACCGCGAGCGGAGCCAAGTCTGACAAGTCTGTAAGAAAGGTACCAATATCGTCCGCTGCCGTTGCGACTGTGCAAGCGAAAGTGCTGTTGAACGTTATACCTGTTGTTATATCTGCTGAGAATAGTAACATTCTATCCACGTATGCCTTCTTAGACAGCGGCTGCACTGACACCCTCGTTGAACAAGATTTAGTTGAACACCTTGGTATTCAAGGAACACCCTTGCAAATCGGAATTAACACGATTTCAAGTAGTGACAATGTGGTAGAGTCGAAACGTGTGTCCTTTACCTTGACTTCGGTAGATGGTTCCGGGAAGAGTACTGACGTTTCGGAGGCGTATGTCCTACCTAACCTCAACCAGTCGCGCTGTACTCTTCCGGAACAGATTGACACTATTGAGTACCCGCACTTGCGTGACGTGAAGTTCCCGGAGGTTGACATGAAGAGAGTCTCTATACTTGTTGGAAACAATATTCCCTATGCACATTTACAGAAGAAGTTAGAGTCCCTGAAGATAAGAAGAAAGGGCTCTATGGCTGTCGTTATCCCTTCGGCTGGTGCGTTTGTGGTCCTTATAGTGCCAATTGTCGTCAAGGGGTTTCAGCAAACTTTGTCTCGATTGACCCTGAACCGCGTTTTCTCATTGAAAAATTTTGGAATCTGGAGGATTATGGGGCAGTGAAATCAAATGAGAAACCCCTCTCGGTGGAAGACAAAATAGCCGTGAAGGCAATTGAGAACACCACCCGTTGTGTGGACGGTCGGTATAAAGTCGGTATGCTGTGGAAGGAGAAAGAACGCCAGTTTCCGAATAATGTAGCCATGGCCAAGCACCGTCTACAGTGTCTGAGACTCCCGTCTTACGAAACCTGGCAATGAAGAAATGGCCGTTAATTACCGCGAAGTTATAGATAATTATATCAGCAGTGGGTTCGCCCGGAAGTTGTCTGAAGAAGAGTTGAACAAAGTGTCTAATACACATTGGTATCTTCCACATCACCCTGTAACGAGTCCTACCAAACCAGGCAAGGTGCGCACTGTGTTCGATGCAGCAGCTGAATGCGAGGGAACTCGCTTAATAAGAACTTGCTGACTGGACCAGACGTAGCTAACAACTTGGTTGGTGTTCTCCTACGTTTCCACCAGGGAAAAATTGCGTTCGCTGCTGACATCGAAAAGATGTTTCATCAGATACGTGTGCGTGAGGAAGACAAGGTTTCCTTGAGGTTCCTGTAGTGGACAAACTGATATGATAATCCCCGTGATACATACGTCATGCAAGTGCATATTTTCGGAGAGGCTTCCTCCCCCTGTATTGCAAACTCAACTTTGCGCCGTGTGGCCGACGACAATGCCGAAGAGTACAGCTCTAGTGTTATTACAGCTGTGAAAAAGAATTTGTATGTTGACGATGCTCTTCCCTCTGAGAATGATGAACAGTCCGCAATTCCCCTAGCCCATGACATGGTAGAACTGCTCGCTCGAGGCGGATTTAACTTGACTAAGTTTACGTCGAACTCCAAGAGACCACTAAGTGCTGTCCCAAATGATAAGCGATCTAAGCCAGATCTAAACCTTGACCTGGACGAGCTATACTCTCCACTGTTTGTTTATTGTTTGATCCTCTGGGTTTCGCAGCACCAGTGGCTTTGTCTGCACGACGCCTGGTTCAAGACTTATGGAAGGCTAACATAGGCTGGGATGAGCCCCTGAGCGAAGAATTTCGGTCTAAGTGGAGAGCATGGAACACTGAGTTACCCTTGTTGTCTGAGTTGTCCCTCCCTTGGTCCTATTTCCTGTCGGACGGTGACCTGCGTCAATGCAAGTTACAGCTTCATGTGTTTTCAGATGCGTCAGAGATTGGTTATAGAGCATCATCATATCTGCGAAACGAGTACCCCGATGGACGAGTTCATTGCGCCTTCATCATTGGTAAGGCTAGGAATGCGCCTGTGAAATTTGTTAGTATTCCAAGAATGGAATTGCAAGCAGCTGTACTCGCAACCCGGATGTTTAAGATGTTGCGAGAGGAACTTGAGCTGAACATTTCCAGGACGTACCTTTGGACTGATAGTGAAATAGTGCTCCATTATCTGACAAACGAGAAACGAAGACTTCAGACCTTTGTAGCTAACAGACTGGAAGAAATAAAGGAGCACACATTTGTAGAGGATTGGCATCACCCAGCAGACTACGTGTCACGAGGAATGAGCCCGTCTTCGCTAACGGCAGACCATAGGTGGCTTCGTGGACCTGACTTCTTGTAGAAGCCGGAAACTTGTTGGCCCACAGAGAAGTGCCAATTCGTACCTGATGAAGGTCTGGAGTCAAACAAGGAAGCTCTCCTGCACTCTGTCCAACATTCCCCTAACCCGTCAGAGAAGAAAGAAGATCCGAAGCCTACTGCCGTCGAAAGCTGTGAAGAACCGCCCCTCCGAGTGTTATTAACTACCTGTTCAGATTGGTCCCGCCTCAGGCGCAGAATGGCCTGGCTCCTGCGTTTTGTACAATTTGTCAAGCACAAACAGAGCGCCAAAACTGGACGTATCACTGTTGACGAGTTTGACGCGGCAACGGCAGCAATTGTGAGGATTGTCCAAGGATTGGCGTGTGCACAGGAGATTAAAGATTTGAAGTTGAACGGTGCGGTCAAGCCGTCAAGTTTGGTTGCTTCACTGAATCCCAAACTTGACGAAGGCGGAATCCTGAGAGTTAATGGCCGTGGTCAGCTCAAGCCGACCTCCTGTACACTAGGCCAACAAATGATTTTTTCCAGAGACAATCCGGTCGCCAAGTTGATTGTTCGTCACGTTCACCACCCTATTGGTCACTTGGGACGCGAACATGCAAGAAACTTAACGGCAAACTTATGACCCAGTAGATGGCGTCCTTACCCAAGTGTCGACTTACAGCCTATGAGCCACCGTTTTCGTTCACTGATATGGACCTCTTTGGCCCCATTTATGTGAAACATGGCCGAAGAACCGCGAAACGGTGGTGTTGCTTGTTTACCTGTTTAACCACCCGTAGCGTGCATCTTGAAGTGGTTAATTCTAAGGATACTGATGAGTTCATTATGTGTTTAAGGTGTTTTAGAAATCGAAGGGGAGACCTGAAAGAGTTACGATGTGACGACGGTTCTAACTTCGTTGGGTCTGAACGAGAATTGAAGAAGAGTCTCCTGGAATGGAACCAAGGGCAGATAGAGAGAGAGCTGAAACAACGAGGCTGTAAATGGGTATTTCAACCCCCGACTGCGTCAAGTATGTCTGGCGTGTGGGAACGTATGGTTCGAAGTGCAAAGCCAGTCTTATAGTCCATTTTTGGGGCGCTAACTGTGACAGATGTGGTTCTACGAACACTCCTTACTGAGGTTGAGCGTATCCTTAACGGAGGAGCCCTCACAGCGAACGCGGACGATCCGAACGATGTCGAACCGCTAACACCGACCCACTTACTGATGCAGAGGAAGATCATCTGTTTGCCTCCTGGAGTCTTTGAGAAGACTGACATTTACAGAAACAAGTGGAGGCAGGTTCAATTTTTGGCCAATTTCTTTTTGGGAAAGGTGGTTGAAGGAGTACATGCCAACCCTCCAACAACGAGGCAAATAGCGAAGAGTGCTGCGTAATATCAAACCCGAAGCCTTGGTTCTGCTTGTTAACGACAACACCCCCAGAGGGCATTGGAATCTCGGCCGAGTGTTGGAGACGTACCCGGGTCCAGATGGTCTAGTACGGACTGTGAAGGTCAAGACTAAGGACGCTGTCTATGTTCGTCCTAAAAAGAAGTTGTGCTTGCTTGAGAAAGATGTGAAAGAAGTAGATACAATGTAGATGCTGAGTTTAACTGTTGGGACGTTTTACGCGATCGCCCCAAGGCGGCCGGGATGTTCGGGAAAAATCTAATTTAAACATCGGACATGATAATTATCCGAAAACTATAAGGTTTGTTTTGATAGGGACCTGAGGGCTGGTCACGTGACCTCTTTTTTCCATGTGATTAGCGTGCTGATCTGTGAGAGTTGTTGCGTTGTTTTATGGCAGAGAGAGCACAGAACTTGTGAGTATTTGGTTAGTTTTTCAGTTCTATTTGGCTCTCTACCTACATGTTTTGTATTTTTATTTTAGTTTTCACCGTTCGAGTTGAAAAAATCTATCCTTATCCCCAACATGAGCCAGTTCTCTTGACTGAATCGAGCAGTTTCCTTCCAGGCAGGTACGTAATATAGTTACTGAGTGTCGCTTTCAATATCTGGCTTCAATGGCATGTCAAGAATCAGATCTGAAAATTGCGTAATCCCTAACTTTTCCACAGAATTTCGGCATTTTGGATGTTTTCTTTAGTGAGCACTTTACCAACGCTCTCACTATTTCTCTTACTATATCTATTGAGGTGCTGATGTCTGATGCTTTAGTTTCCTTAATAACATTATCAACAACAGTATCCCTCATGTTGTTACTTTCTACCCTTAATCTGCTAGGAGTAGCACTTTTCTTAAAGTTCTCAGTGTCACTAGATAGAGTTTCCCTACTATTTACTCGCACATTGCCTTGTAGCTCTTCTGTACTATATAAATACAACTTTGTATCAGTCTCTAAATTCATAAAGAACTCTTGACTCTCTTCTAGCCCAGCTTCTTGGGCCTCAAACTCTTCGTCGTCTTCAAAACGCTTCGTGAATTCTTCATGTTGCACTATCAGTGTCTGAAACGCATTTTGAAGTTTAGGTAAGGCTCCCTTACCTCTTCTCTTGGCCGCTAACTTTCTATCACATGGCGTAGTGATTTTCCTGCGCTCGTCAGTGCTGCCTTAGTATTTCTTCGTTTAATCTTCGTTTTCTTTAGAAGATCCTTAGCCATTGTCTTTGCTTTCGGGAAACTTGTTTACAATAGTTATCGAATGCTTGTTCGGTTGACTAAAGACGCTAAAAAAGCCAAATACGAAGGTGGAATCGTATTTTAATTACATGTACAATTCCATCTGAAATAAAGTAAACATGTCCGTTGGCACGTATGCACTCGGCCTAAGTACAATGTAGAAAATGAACAGAAAGTAACCTAACACAGCAACAAAATCGACTTTACACTTACTTCTATAACTGCCTCTGTATTTAGACAAACAGTCCACATTTACAGTCTGGTTTTCCGGTTAACAACTTCTGTTTACCTGGTTAGCAACTTCTGGTTATCAATAAACGGGTTGAAACTGGTCAGCGTAAAGTGAGTTTAACAACTGAACTCAAAGCTCGCTATGCGACTTTAAATAGGGCGCCTCGCGAAAATAAAAGTACACGCAAGATTTTAAATTTGAACAAAGCGCGAGCAAAATAAACTACAAGAATAGCACAAGCGTGCTGCACATTTGACTCAAACAGATGAACGGACTGTTTGTCAGAACAGACCATGAACAGTTTCCCGCTCTATTGTAAAGTTATCGGAGTTTCTCGAGGTGGTCTAGATAGCAGCAACGATAAAAATCTGATCAAAGTCCATAATCTACAGTAAAACCTGTTTTTTCCCCTTATCTCCGGGTATTTGTTCCGAAATCCGGATAATTCGAACTCACTACAACTCGAACTTTTTAATTCCTATTTCCCTTGAAGGCTCGAGTTATCTGGAGTCGACTGCAATCCGGCGGCAGCACAACACACTGAACACGAACCAGATTCCTGTCTTTTTTAATAGTTGCTTTTTCTAGTTACCAGTTTAACTACGTTTTTATAATCTATTTACATTGGTTCCTGGTATCCCATTACTACTTTCTCGAGCCACTCATCCTCCGAAATAACAGATACCAGCCACCTTGATGGGGCCGTACTGTAATGGCCCAGTCTATAAGCTTCATTTAAAAGTAACACATAGACAAACACGTCAGACGGTGATAACACATCAGTGACACCACGAATCTGACAGTCAATGTTCCCCTACTTATTCTCCTACTCAAAACGGAAGTGGAGCTGCAACTGTGTTCTTTACAGCGCACTATAATTGAGTTCTCGTTCCTTCATCATTAAACCCTTTAGGACAAAAAAAACAAGCATTAACGTTATTACAAATTTCGAAGTATCAGCTTAACAAATCGAAACAACGCTCCATAATCTATACTCATACCGACCATAGACATGACGTCAAAATGTTCAAAACTTTGCAGTGCCACTTCTTTGTTTTCAAAACATTCAGTTTTGACGTCATCTGTGATCTATTATTTCACAGACGCACGGCAACATAGAATCTATTTGTTAACTTCACCATAGAAATGACGTAAAAATGTTCACAACTCAGTTGGAACCACGAACACCAGGCCGTATGGCCGCTAAGAGTACAGACAATGGAAACTTGTGGTTAGTTTGTTTTTTAATACAATAACAGACAGTTTGTAAACATCCATTTCCGTCGAAGTTTCTCAGTAAACATTGCTCGCGCAAGAAAGAGTAAAAGAAATTACGCCACCATGACGTCATTTCCATGATCTGTACTCTTATCGACCATAGCTCTCGACCAATCAGCGCGCGAGAAATCGCTCAGTTATTGTAAAATTAACCATATCTGAGGAATATATACTGTAGTAATTAAGTATGATTTAAACTCACTTGTCTAAGAGCAGCAAGTTGTTGTAAAATCATCTCCTGGCGTGCTGTAGGTAATGGTTCTGGAGAGATCTAAACACAAAATATGCAATTGTTAGCAATCATTAACCAGGTGCAATTTGACATTAGTGCATTCGCTTTAATACTGTGAGCCAGAAAAGGCCAGACCAGTCCAGCTGTGAAAAGAATAGGCCACTTCCGAGTTCCAAAAAACCCTCACTTTCAAAATGAGGCTAGGTGCACAACCTTTCTTGTGAAAATGAGTTTTATTTGCCTGAGAATGAAAAATGATTTCCATATCAAAGGCTGAGCACCTACCCTCGTTTTGAAACAGAGGCCCGGGGGAACTCGGAAATGGCTTATTTCACTATAAGTGCATTTCATATCTAAAGTGACCGATCGGCAGTCGGCCAGTTCTCACCTTTAGTAAGCGCCCAAGGTAGCTTTTTTAAGCGAGAATCATCCCCAATGCAACCCAAATTTTTAGCATGTTGAAAAGTTGTTTAGTTAAACACGGTTTAGAATTGTTGTCTTCAAAAAACTGCTTACTGATTATTATCGACTGCAAATTTCGCACAAATTACACTGGAGTAAGTCAAAGTTCAATTGAATCCAGTGTAAGACCCTGTGTACTAGTTTATCGTTAAGGTTTTTCATTTTTTTTTAAACCTGGTTAAAATAAACATGTTAAGTTGGTACTGCGGATGATGGGGCTTAAGTAGTATATAGGATGCAAGATTACGCTGAGAAAGGGGATATTTGACTCTTTCAACTGATTTCTGCTAGAAATGACATTTTACGAAAATCTGACTCGATTTAACATAAACATAGGCCGACAGCTTTAGAATAATACAAACATTACAACAGCCATGGAAATAAGAATTGAAATAAGAATTATTCCAGATCAGAAGGTGACCAACCTTTCCAGCATCCAACACATTTTTTCCATCCGCAATCTTTGCCTTTACTTGTCTAACCTTCCGCTTTTCCGCAGTCAGAGAAATACTGGTATTTTTGGAATTGACATCTCGCTCCGATCCTTTAACTTGCTCGTTGTGTTTTATTAAATTTCTAGTTTTTCTCTGAGTACCTTGGTCTGCCTTCTTTCCTGTCTGTTTACTTGTATCAGTTGTAGTAGTAGCAGTAGTATCATGGTCTGATAGAGAGGTGGTATCCATGGCAACAGCAAATGTAGCACTTGAAGTCCGCCTGTAGGGCAACATAAAAGCATCTTGTAAAGCAGGAGCGGCAGGTACTTCCTCTTGCTTTACATTCTCCAAAGAAGAGCGTTTCCTTATTTGATGTTTGCTCGGTTGTTTTTTTCTATGGCTTTTTTCTGACTGTGACCGCGTAGATTTTTTGCTTGGTCTTGACGATTCTAAGTACGAATTCGCCTGAGAATGATTCTTTCGAGAAGGAACAGGAGATGATGATGTCCATTGTGATTCCAGTGATGTACTTAAACTTATTTCCTTTAGCTCGGATTCCAGTTGGGCGTTCTTTTGCCAAGAACTGTCTCTATCATCCTCCTGCGGTACTCCGCTCTCAGTTCGTTCTATTCGCGGACTGAACTGGGAATATTCCGTTACATAAGACGAGCTTTCTGTGGATCGCATCCAAATAGATGAGTCTTGGTCACCTGGGAAGAAAAATAAACAACAACAATGTTTAACTAGGGATTTTTCTTATAACGCAAAATGATTATACCTGCTTGTTTAGAATGCGCTAAATAAATGTATTAACTGTGTCGTGTTGCACATACAGGAGATGAGTACAGGCCAAAAAAGGGTATATCTAGGAATTAGCCAATAAGGATCCCATGGCTCCTCTTCTGGAATTACAGAGGGCAATATTTTTCAAGTAAGAGGGCCCAGGGTATTTTAACAGATTTGAACCATTCTTGTGTCTGTACCTGCAAGGAGACTGAAGATAGGCTCAATACTGAGTAAACGTCCTTTACGCGATGTATGAGAAGATGGTTCATGTTTATGACTGGCTCGTTCCCAGCCGTTTTTGTAACGTGCACGGTGAGAGCAGGAGGTGATGGGGACAAGTCAGTGTTAGCGATGATATAAAAAGGAGGTAGGTTGAGGATAGGGAATTCAACAAAATTCCAGTCTTTGATGGTGTCTGTTCTTGTGACAAGATTACTTATCAAAGTACGTATGGAAACATAAATCGCCCCTGTTATGAAGGAGGTCTCTTTATCAGTCAATATTGAGTTATTCAGGTTCAGTTGTTGACCAGCGCTCACACTGCAGACCAAGCAACTTCACAAATGACAAACCTTCTTCCATTCGGGATCGCAATCCAGATACATCGTGACCACCAGACTCCAAATGCTTTAACCGTTTGGCAGCTTTTTCCTGAAAGTCAACAAATACATACATACGTAAATAAGGAAATGAATGAGAAAGGAGCAACAAAACGAATGGAGCCGAGGAGGAGGAAGCTCCTTTGAGAGATCAACTAACCATTAAACAACTCAAACAAAATTTTACAACAACTTCGTGTGTTATAGGTAAGAATCTTGAATATTCAAGACACTTTTTAACATGCCCAATTCAGACCAACGACAAAATACCCTTCGAATGATCAAATATTCCATTTTCTTTGATAGTGGTTCTGGTCAACTGGTCATTGGTCGTGGCTCTCATTTTACTAAAAAAAGAACTTACCTGTTGTGCGGACTGGTGGGCCTGTACAATACTGAGTTGTAATGCCTCCACCCGACGCCTTGCCTCATCCTACCAAACGCAATCAAGAGACACGTCACTTTAAAGTGCAAGTAGTACACCGACGTGAAAAAAATTCTAGGTGTTACTGTAAGAGAAGATTAGAAATGGAACGATCACATTACAGCGAGAGCAACAACTTCATCTTACAAAAAGTTAAGCACACTGATGTAAAACGTCGTTGCTGTTGCTTGTGTTGTATCAATACTTCACTGTGCATTTCTGACTTCTACTCTAGTTCCTTAGCCCGATCGCGACGATCAACATACATTGTAAGAGCGCTTAAGATTATACACGGACACCCTGAACTTTCTTTAAGACACGCTTTGTTAGTTAAGGCTACAGAACAAGGGTGAATGTCTATGTAAATATCTGTTTAATCACATATCGTATCACGGAAAGTGCAACCAGCACAAATCATAAGATGTACTACTTACATTCAGTGGCAGTCATATTTTGATATATCACATCCGAAGTATCTAATAACAACCTACCAAACACAAGAACATATACAGATCCTATGGGCCTCATCATAGCTTACTATTTAACAATTATTCCTCGAGCCCGAATGGGCTCTGAGTCACAGAGGCCATGAGGGCGAGAGGAATAATTGTTTTAGTAAAATCCAACTAGTTGGTCAAAAATATCGAGAATAAAAAAATTTAGCTAGTTAAAGCTAGACTTAAATCCTTTTTTGCCGCCAAAAAGCGCGCGCTTTTCGCTATTAGTAGGCTATAACATACAGCCTAGTAGTAGCTCAACCAATCAACGTAGCATTGATAATAGACCACTAGTTGGATTTTACTAACAACAATTATCCTCACCTCTTTTTCTTGACGCATTTTCAGTTCTTCCTGATACTGTTTGTGAAGTCTTTCTCGTTCTAATGCTAGCGTTCTTTCTTTCTCAGCTTCCTCTTTCATCCTTCTTTCTTTCTCTTCCTGCTTTAGCCGTCTTTTCTCCTCTACTTGCTCTTTAATGGCAAGCTAAAATAATTCAATATAACTTTCCAGTAACACCACGATAATCATTGCGATAAATATTCTCAGGTTAATGTCGACCACCCGCAGTAAATCACTAACAGGGACCTTGAGATCCGAGGACAGCGAGCAGAAGGCCGCGGGTTTGATCTCCAGGGCCGGACTAATACTCAGGGTCTGAGTAATGCCGGGAGGAAGGTACTGCCTTAGCCTCCCAGCAGAAGTCCTTTGGGGTTCGTTTGAATGAGTGACGAACGAACCCCAAACGACGTCTGCGGGGAGGCTAGTACTGCCTTTGCCCTGCAAAACGGCTTCACCTTCGAGGGGTTCGGGTAAGTCACGTAGAAATGGCGATCCCGTCTCCAGTAGCGTACGTAAAACTGTGAAATATCTGTTCGGAGAAGCCTAAGAACTATATCCAAGTTCAGAAAGAGAGAGGAAATTTCGTCGTCACTTGTGTACTTCCTATGTAAAACGTCAAATTAGGCATTTTCACGTCGTAGTCCTGCAGCGACGGCAACGAAATTTTCCAAAAAGCGTGATGCACGTGCATAATTGTTGTTTTGGTTATTAAACCTATTGCTTTATTGACGTTCTCGTTGCCGTCGCTGTCGTCGAATCTTAAGGTCCCTAATATCATATTATCACCACCACTTGGTAACACTGAGTTGAGTGCCAGTTTATTGACGTTTGCTCGGTTGCTTTGCCAGGGTCTACCTAGTAAACTAGTGTGCGGCAGGACTAGCTCAGTGTGTAAATATCATCCCTGCGAACAGAGGCCTCTTCTCTTCCCAGCCAAATACCACGGTGAAAAGGCCTCTGCTAGCAGGGAAGTAAAGTGCTCGACTGTAGAGCAGAAGGCCGCGTGTTTAATCTCCAGGGCCGGACCAATACTAAGGGTCTGAGCAATGCCGGGAGGAAGGAACTGCCTTTGCCCTGCAAACGGCTTCACCTTCGAGGGGTTCGGGTGAGTCACGTAGAAATGGCGATCCCATCTCCAGTAGCGTACGTAAAACAGTGTATTCAGTATTATTCAGGGGCACCCAACGACTGTTTTCCGTGAAATATCTGTTTGGAGAAGCAAAAAATGCCTAGAATTTTCTATAGCTTGAGGAACGCTAAAAATTTCTAGATGACCGTTCCATTCATGTACAATTTTCGAAGCTTATCTAATAATTCCCTTCGATTTTCTGCAGTTAAATTTTTCCCATTTCACTCCCCAGGTTAAGCTATTTTTCGTAGAGAAAGGAAACCTAACATTTTCGGAATCGAAAATCCTTTTACCATTACGTAAATCTTTAAATTGCAGCTAAAATTTTCGGGAAAATAATGCTGAAGCCCTTGTAATTTCGAAGACTCAAGTTGCCCTTGGATGACCGAACAGATATAAATTTTTTAGCGCCACTTTATAGAATACATTTCTAGAGATCTAAAAGTACTCTGGATCGCCTGAAAAGTATTTTCAATGCATTTAGGAGGAAACCGTCGTTGGGTGGCCATGATTATTAACACATTGATGCTCAAATAAAATCGTGTTTTGTCTATCATTCAGAACGACGTCACACGATTGGGAGGTAATGTTAAGCTGTGGCTTTGCACAGAACGTCAGGAAATCCTCACTACTGCGGTGTATAATCTAGTACACTCTTTTTTTTAATATAAGACGTTTTTTATGAGAATATCGAGGCTGAAATTTGCGAAATTTTAAGAATACAATACGAATAAGCCGAAGGCTGAGATTTTGTTGAAAATCTGTAAATACAATACAATTATTTGTTTTGTATAATTATTCATTTCTCTTAACGGCAAAACTAGGCACCAAAACAAAAACAAAAAACCGGCATTAACTGAACTTTAGACCCCAATACATTACAACGGAAAAGTCAGAGGCTAAAATTTAAGAACAATGCAAGAATATTTCAGCCTAAAATTGGCAGAAAAGAAGAATATTCAGCCCGGGCCGCAGACACAACATTCTTATTAAAAAGAAAGAGTGTAGTGGACAAGGCCTTCTAGTATCACACCTGCTTTATTTTGGGTAAAATAACCTGAAAGTTGTAAAACAATCAGTCCATAAAACGATAGGAAATTTTTTAATAATAACCGTGAAAAATTAATGGGATAATAAGATAACTTAGTTTAAGGGTCACCTGATGTTCCAGTGTCTTGATCCGTTTTTTTTCCAGTTCTCCTTGATCCATTTGTCCTAAACTCTGCAATCCATGACCTCGATTATGAATATTCCCAGCCCTGCTAACATATGAAACCTAATTACAGTTCAGCTGTCAGGGTTTTCCCTTACGCGCAAATACGCGTCAGAGACGCTTTGTTCCGCCGAAAAAGAAAAAAAAGTACGCAAAACACGAAAGAGAACCGGTCCTCTCGGACGCACATGCTCTAGAGGGATAGTTTACTAAAAATTAGTTAAGAACTGCGTAGATCTTCAAAGAATCTTTTTTGAGAATAAAATATAAAGACTTTTGAATCTTCTTCTTTTGTCTGACTCCTTATTTAAAACTAAAAAGAGCCATAATCACTTTGAATGGTTCTCAAGCTTGCTTTTTTGATGTTCCGATCGGAGAACCACATTAAAACTCCTTGCAGAGGTTTGGGAACTACTGTCTCATTGTGAGCCAGCGAACGGTCGTAGTGATGTTTCTGCTTTTTAGAAGAAACCCGAAAATGTTTCAGAGATTTCCTGGAATTTGAAACAGTGCTAACCTTAGGACTCCCACTGTTCCCTCTGGGACCACAGGCAGACCACCCTCTGTTAGTCGGGGCCGTTGTTGATTGAAATCTGAGCAACGATCGTTTGTTATTTATAGAAGAAATACATATGAACAATACGGTGGCTATAATTTGTTCCAAAATGCAGAATTTTAAAGAAAATTTCAATAAAAGTTTGAAGAAAATGTTAACCGAGTCCTGTGTCATGTTTTTTTCGCTTTCCTGTGCTGTTTTAAGCGTTATTTTGCGAGATGAATATTTGACCTCGGCGGTCAGAACTAAAGAAGGAGACAAGGCAGGCAGCAATCAGCCGCCGGCGCGTGACCCAGTCCAATTTAAGCTGGAACTGACGCCAAACTATTTAATTTCTTACCCCGAAAATACCGGCTCCCGATCCACTACATATGTATCCATGCCCCATCCGAATGCGAGCTCAATCCTGGCAAAATTTCTAGAGAAAAGCGATCCTGAAGTTGCAAGACCAGCTTTCTCAACATGACCGGTGCAAAAACCTCAGCCAAAGGCATTTGAGGTATGCGCGTCGATTCAATTCCACCAATCAGCGTATCGCGACCAAACAAACATCCCTGTCCGGGGCAGGGTTGTGGTTTTGAGCTGTCAACGGTCGCGATACGCATGACACATGACTCAGTTAACATTTTCTTCAAACTTTTATTGAAATTTTTTTTTAAAATTCTGCATTTTGGAACAAATTATAGCCACCGTATTGTTCATATGTATTTCTCCTATAAATAACAAACGATCGTTGCTCAGATTTCAATCAACAACGGCCCCGACTAACAGAGGGTGGTCTGCCTGTGCTGGGACCCTAAACCTGTGGTTAAAGGAGTCTTAGGGAACTCCGAAAGGAAAATATTGAGGGAAAACTCCGGGCTGTTCAGTGCGAACCTGTCGTTGTTAATAAAACATCAGAAAATACTCGCCCCTAACATGCACCTAAACTTCGGCTGTTTCGTATATACAGGAGACAGAACGGCCAATAAAAGACAGGTAACCATGTGGCCTGAACATTAACTGTGGTATAAACCCATTTTGACATGATTCTTATAATTGTTGTCTGTGGAAAGGAAAGGAATTGCTTGTTTGAATCGTTGTGATCCAGGTTAGGGGACAATGGAGAGGTAGGGAATAGGCACAAATACGTAGATACGCAGTTAATTTGTTCTTTATGTCCCCCAAATGCTTGTGGACTTAATATTGATCATACACTTGTAACTACTTTACCTTTCATTGCCGGCTGAAGTGTGAGAAGTTTGCACAGTTTGCACTGGAGAGTGTTGTTTTGTAAAAGTGCTACTAGTAGGCACGCTGATGTTGGCAGAAGATTCATGGGCTGGAGCAGGTGTTTGGAACCATGTTTCATATTTACTCTCCTATATTGAACAACAACCATCTAACATTACTTTGTTTTATTAATAATAAGACACTTAGAAGGTTTGGATGGGATTCTGTTACAGGTCAAAATTAAACAGTGGAACCTCGATAGGAAAGGCAAAATTTGTTCGCTATAAGAAGGTTTCGTTATATCAAGGTTCTTTTTCATATATTTTACTATTACTGGGCTAAAAAAAATCGTTCGTTATAATAATCATAATAATAATTTAATATTTATAAGGCACAAAATAGCATTTAAATATATGATTTACTGTAAGGACTTCGTTATATAGAGGATCGTTATATCGAGGTTCCACTGAATTAAGGTTAACATTTTTTAACCTTGGTTGATTCTCAAATTCCCTTTGTCTCCTGGCCCTAATTCATGAATAATCAGGGACAGGAGATAACAGAAATTGAGAATCATCCAATAGCAAAGATGTCTGGTTTTGAATTCAGTTGAGGTTTGAAACTTTCTTGTTTTTAACCTATGATAATCACATTCTCTTAAAAATATTTTAGTTTTGCATAATTGAGAGCAAGAATAAACTTGAAATTTAATATTCTACCTTCAGTGATTGATTTAACTTTTCCTTAGCTTCTCTTTCCTTTTTTTCTTTGATTTGTTGCTCTGTTAAAAATGGAAATGAACAAAATAAATCCAGTGTGGTGTAACTAAGGTTTTATCAGTTCGTAGCATATAATTATATATGGGCCATACCAAGTTCTTGTAACCATTTTTTCTTCTCTTCAGCTTTAGACTGCTTTGTCTCATACTTTACGATACCTGGAGCCTGAAATGAATAAATAGTAATTTATCATTAAAAATGAAAATAATAATAACAACAACAACAACAACAATCATCATCATAGTAATAATAATAATAATGATAATGATAATAATAATAATCACCTCAGCTAGAATAGTTATCCAAGTACAATTGATTTGGAAATTGAATGTGGGATATGAAAACGGAAACAATACCAGTGGTAGTTGGAGCCCTAGGGCTAATTAAGATGGGACTAGACAAGGTCACAAGTAGAATCCCACGTAACATTAGCACCAATGAAATCCAGAAAATCACAATGCTTAGTACAGCCAAACACTAAGGAAAGTACTGTTGCTGAAGTAACTTCTTCCCCTATAATGCCCTAGGGCAGGTCCACTGCTTGGACCTGGTTACAATGGATAGGAAGCAGGAAAACTTGAGGACAACATAATAATAACAAATAATAATAATAATAATAATAATAATAAGCTAAAGGTTCTGAGGTGATTTGACACAAGGCACAAATTGAAAAGGACAAAAATGACAATATTAAACCACACAAAAGGAGAATTTTATTACCAAAAAAGATCTATTCTTCAACACCAACAATTTGTTGAGCAATCGAGCTTTTCTTAATAGCAGAGCTTTGGATCCCTTCATCAGTGATCATGATGACGTTTGCGATTACTCCCAGCCTCATTTCGGGTGGGTTCGGAAATTAAGCTCTGCTAAACTTTCAACAAATTGTTGGTGTTGAAGAATATTTTTTCCTGTAATAAAGACATTGAAAGTTTTCACTGTGTTTCACAGTGTAGTCACTGGAATACCAGGAATAATATTGTAGTATGTCTGCTCAAAAGTTACCAGTTTTATCTGGTTTCCTGCAAGACAAGCGGCTCATCTCATGAGAATCATTGCAGTGGCAATCTTCGAATAAATTACGAGTAATGAGCATGATCTCTCACTGGATTTTTTTCAAACTCTGGCCAAAGTGACTCAAGGTCTGGGAAGCCAACTGATAATACTGTAGTCTTTTTCCATACATAACACCTTTAATAATTAGTTATTTGAATAAAGTAACAGAAGGGTTTAATAATCAAGAGCCAGGGTGTCCTGGGTCAGTGGACAATTCCCTCCATTTTCCCACTGCCTTTAATTCATAACTTGTACATAACACCAACTGAAGGTTTTACCCGTTAATCTTCAATTTCTTTCTCTAGCCGGGTAAGGATCGTGATCACGCTTTTCTAATACCACTATCTGGTACATTGTAGCAATTCAAAACAGTTTTCTTTTCAATGGCAATTCTGTCTTATGTAGGAAGGCACAATTTCTGCACCTTTATAATTACATAAGAGAGCTAGGAGACTGATCTTACCCCAACAGCAAATGAGCTTCTCATGGCAGCAGGTAGTACATCGGCTGTACCTGCAGCTGTACCAGTGTACTGTGCAGCATTACTAGCCTGTCCAGTAGTCTTAACTGCAGGCTGATCACTGTTCAATGTCAGACCTGACCCTGTGGAATCCGCCTCATTCTTATACAACACAGAAAAAGCCCGTCAAACGGTTGTTTAAAGACAAATTTTAGGTTCTAACTAGTTACTAGGTATATATATATCAATCATATGTAGACATATTTTTAAGTATACTTTGTCTTTTTTGGGAATTCAATAAACCTTTTATTTTTTAGGCGAAATCTGTTCTTCGCATAAACCATTATTCCAACAGTGCTAGTGGAATGTGACTTCTACTGACACCGAGGAACAATTGCAATAGTGTCCATATTATATGGGTATCTGTATTAAGCAGGCTCTCACTAAAAATGGGATAATAGACAGTGCACAGATAACCAGCATCCATAAAGAGAGGATATACAAGAGTTTGTAAATCGGGACACACAAATTAAAGGTACAGAAAATAATAGGTCAGGGCTTATAATTATACACAAAGCTTAAGCATCGGGACAAACAAAACTGTCCACTTGATATGGGTGTCCATATTAAGTGAGATTTGACTATAGTTTAATTTGATTCCAAATTTCCTTTCTTTCCTATCCCTAAATATTCAAAGGAGGCAAAGAATCTCTGGTTTAATTTGAGAACAGATTTTACCTTCAACATTAAGCCAGCATGTATATATTCTTCTGAAACACACAATCATCAGATTCCATCCGGGCAAAACTGTAACAATTGTTTGCACACATAAATGAAAATATGCTAAACAAACAGTTTGCCCAGATGGAATCTGAAACACACAAACTATTCAGATTCCATCGGGGCAAAACTGTTTGTTTAACATATTTTCATTTACACATACAAACATGTAACTTTTGTTCTTTACTTTGTCGCCTTAAACCATATGCATTAGGTCAGTTTTAATTTTTCATCTTTGTCACTTGATATTGATATCATGCCGACATTGAAACAATAAGTGCTAAACTTCACTGAAGTGTTGGATGAAAAGTACAACAGTCTTTAAAATAATTATGTATCACTTTATGTACATGGCAGCTCTCAAGAAATAGTTTCCGCACTGGGGTATTAGTAGACTTCAAAATAGTCAGTTCTTTTCTTAAAATCGGTTTAACACAGCTTAAGATTCTCACACACCCTATGGGCATGTGAGGTGAGAGAAAAAAAACCTACTGCCCTTTTTCCATACAATGAGTTCGTTCTCACCAGGGGGTTCAAAAATATTGTTGAGCTGTCAAAAATCTGTTTACAACTCTACATGCACCCTCTCGGTGAATTTGATAATTCGGTGATTGATTTCGTGAGAGAATACCACTTGTTATTGACTTGGCTTTAAATCGTGTGGTGAATGCTGTATCCAGTAATTTCAAAGCAGTCTTCAGCTTTGTTTCCCTGTGCAATGTAATGTTTTGTGGAGGATCAAAAATGAGTGGAAGTGGAAGTACTCTGGCAAAGCCTGTGCCTGCTCCGTCAAAGAGGGAGAAAGCCAAAAGAGCCAAGCGCTTCTGATGATTTGTTTCAAAACACAGTTCAGCAATTTTAAGAGTGGGTGGATAAGCTCTGAAAATATGTTTGTTGCCCCTACTAGAAAAGATTAAACACTACCAAAGTTGTTTGACCTTCTGAAAAGGAACTTTTCATTGTCCCGGGCCCAACGAATCTGGAGAATCTTTCTCCACAAGAGTTTGCTCGCTGTG